CATGCTTTCCTTACTGTTACAGCCAGCGCTGGATAGTACCACTACCCACACATAATACTGCTTGGCCACAGCTAAAAATAACATTCTGCCTCCGTCACTATAATCATACACACCCTATTTTTAACTTTAGTTGGACTATGATATTCTTAAATTCTCTGTCCTTCCTGTGGGTTTCTACCAGTCTTTTCACATATAGCTGCCAAAACACTTATCCTCAGAAGTCTCTTTATCTTTATCACCATCCTGACAATGTTGAACTTTACTCTAGCCCTGTGATCCTAGAAAATAACAAAGGTAAAGGAAATTCCCCCACCCCTCTGTGTTTTGGAAATGGCTCACTGCAAAGAACCACCCTTCCCCATATGATTTAGATAAGATTCAAGGCACTCCCCATGTTTACTCAAGACTCGGCCAGACAAAGACCCTCCAAATTCCCATTCTTGGCTTCATAAATGATTAGCTGAACTATTTGTGCCACTGACCAATCTGGACAAAATACCTGCTACTTGACTAGACCAGATCTTGAGCTAAACTTCTCTCTTTCCTCCAAGATCCTTAACTTTGACCTACCCTGAGTTTAATAGACTCAACCCTTCTCTCATAAGCTTTCCTAAAAATGGGCGGACCCCAGGGAAAAACATTCTCTGGTCTGCTGCCCCTAATCACACCACTCTCACTCATCCTGCCTTCCCACATTCCCTTACTCTTCCTTATAAAAGAAAAGTCCTTTTCTGCCTAGCCTTTGAGATGCCTACAGATGTATGGTTGGCAAATTCTCCCTATTACAATCTCCTTCCCTCTTCTTATTACAGTCATCTTTTCAAATAAGGTCTCCTTACATAAATCCAGATTTGCTTTTTATTTGACGCTCCATTTGATCAGATTAAAAAGATTTCTGGCAACTAACCCCAACCTAGTTCACTGAACTAATTGAACTAATTTGAAAATTTTTCCTTTCAGTATATCTACTCAAATGGAGCTAGACCTTTCATTCTCTTGCACTAATGAATGCTTTCATTTCAGCATAAAATGAATTACAAGAATGTCCTAGAAAAGTAAGTGAATCTGGGTTTTAAAAACTGTTATCCTTGCATCCCTAGCATCTAGTTCCTATCCATAGTAAATAACTGCTGAATTACGAAGCAAATTAACAAATTAAGTTTTCTAAAACAATGTGCATCTTATTGTAATAGAAACATATATCTTAGCTCCCAAAATCTGTTCAATTGTATAACAATTAAAATATCTTAATTTGAAGATATCTTCAGAATTAGGACACTTTCTAAAGTTGTTCAGTAATTGATTAACAAAACTATACTCTTATCTTGTCACACATATTGCACACAATTATGATAAAGGCCATGATCATTTTCTGACAGAAATATTTCTTTTGTTGGACAGAAAAGATCTATTGAAACAATATATGTGTTGAAACAATATAAGTTAATGAACAATTTGATAAAGCCATGCGTATTTTCAGACAAAAGTTCCACTAAAGTCAAGTAAACACAGTTACTGTTCCAATGCCAAAAATGAAGAAAACATTTACTCCAATAAAGAATAGGCAATATTCTTTAGGTTAAGCTTTTCAAAGTAGCAAAATTTGAAGAACAGAAGGGAATGAAGATAGTATTTAGCTAAGGACAAGGAAGAAATATATGTAAATGAGGAAAGAATAAGAAATCATTAATAGGTGAACCAAAAGGAAAATACTAGTATCGTCCTCAAGCCTTCTTACTCAACTATAGATCCCAACAGTTAAAACCAGAAATCAACAAGACCACTTAACTCATACTCCAAAACCCACTGTGCTTATTTCTTCTTGCACTTTCTCGAGGCATTGACAAAGGTGTTTTGCCAAGAACGGAACATTCTAACCGAGAAACCAGAAAAGGCCCGATAGCAATGGAATGCCTAGACCACAACACCCCACGCATCCCTTTCCCTGCCTATGATCATGGGCGGAACACATACCAACCCTACCCATGATCACTTGCTCCTTGCATGCTCTCTTGTATGTACGCCTCTTGTATGAGCCTCTCTCTGTAAAACACTAGGTGTCCATCTTGCAGGCGGGGAGGTCGGTTGTTAAGTCTTGAGCCAGCCACCTCCCCCGGCTACTGCCTTCTGAAATAAATTTCTCCCTTTCTCTTTTCCAAACCCTCATTTCTTGAGTTATTGGCTGCTCTTATGATGAGTTTACCCAAGTTTGTTCAGCAACAGTGTTGGCAAACCCAGCCGGGAGCCATGTGTTTAATTTGTCCAGACCCCTTGGGATTCCCTGGGATGGAGTAGTTAGCCTCGGCAGTGCGCTGGGGCTTACCCGTTCATTTTTGAAGTTAGCGGCTATGATAGATCAATGGATAGCACAACAATATAATGGCTAAAACTTTAAAAAGCCACAATAAATGGGCTGTAATAAATTACAGAATGGTGTAACTCATAGATGAATTACTGAGTTTGAAGGTCAAATGGGGAGACTCTCCTAGGTGGCTACAGAAAAAAAAATATATCAAAGAAATGCCAAGAGGATAAAGGATAGAAATAAAAGTACCAAAATCTATGGGAATACCATAAAGAGAGAAAAAATTAAAAGAGTTTAAAAAAAAAATCCTGAAGAGAATTTTCACAGAATTAAAATAAATTATGAAAAATGTCAAACTGAAAGTTTCAGATCCAGGCATTTTAAAATTAAGAGCATTAAATGCAATATGAAAATATACAACACTTCCAGGCAGAAAAAGATGCCCTAATTGGCAACAAGAACCAAATTAACAATAAAATTCACAATAGTAACACAGTATGCAAAAAAACAAGCAAGCAATATTCTCAAGATATTCTCAAAGAAAAGAACTTTGAACCATGAATGTTGTATGAAGTAACTATAGTATAATGTGAGGGAGTAATAAAGACACACCAAGCCTGGGCCACTTGGTTGGTAAAGCATGCGACTCTTTATCTCAGGTTTGTAAGTCCACGCCTCATGTTGATATACAAGGCCTCAGAATTTTACCACTGAAAAAGTAAAGCACTTTTACTTTTTTTATACTGAAAAGGAAAAAAAAAATACTGAAGATAATCTAGGTAGCATTAAAATAAGAGAAACAAATCCAGCTTCCTTTGTAAAAGATAGAAGCACTATAGCGGTACTGTAAACTTTACTAAGGTATTTTATCAGAAAAACAGTAATAGCTAATACAGGACTAAAAACGGAAAAAAAAATAGATGCACAGAGAGATACATGGATATATAAGTATAAAGAAA